TTCAAGTGGATAGTTATCCATTTGACAGGAACAGTCAATAGCAGTAGGGGAAGGTACTACATGAGTAGGTAAAGGATAGGGGCATGCCATCCTTCCTGAAATCCTCCGATTTGGGTACAGACTTGCCATGCCACATTATGCCCTCCAAGACAGACGCTGTCAACACATCCAAGACCTGGTCCGGTGTCTTTCCGCTATGTTGTTTGTGAAGTTTGAACTCTGACTTTAATACAAGTTCCGCTTCCTGCAACTGGGCTCTATGTGTGTTTACTGCTGCTGCAGCATGTTGCACCTCCCCACAGTTGGACCATGGAGAATGGCCATAGCCACCCTCAGATCACAGCAACAACAAAAAAAAGAATTTGGAGGTTTGAAGGAGACTGAGAGCAATAAACCAAAGTTTAGTTTCAGTTTAAGGAGACTTGAAGACTTCAGGGGTCATCTCTGCAATCTGTTGAAGCTGATCAAGCACAGAATGTCAGTTTATTCCTTGGCCAGAGAGGCATAGTTCTACATCTCTGGACTCTGAAGTGCTCAGAGCTGAGCACTTCTGCGTTCATACTACCCAGGGGTGATTAGCAAGCAGAACACTGATCTCCTGTCTTACTCCATCCTCACACCCTCTATGGAGGTCCCAGGCACCCAGAAGGAACAAGTGGGGCTAGGACACAAAACTTGAAAAAATGAAAAAAAAAAAAAATAGATTACAAAAAATAACAGGACCAACCCCAAAAATACTTCAAATATATTAATAGTAAAAAGGTCCGGACCAAGTATGTAGGCCCTTTACAGAATAATCTAGAGTGGGTGACTGGGGACAAAGAAGGCAAATTTATTGAATCCCTTCTTCAGCTCTGTGTATACAGAGGAGCATGGGGGAGCTCTTGTCCATAATGGGCATGGTACTGACACAGCTCCAGATGCTCCACATTGGCTCACAATTGATATGATCCAAAAATATTTAGACAGAATAAAGGTGAATAAAGCCCCTGGACTGGATGGCATACACCCACGGGTCCTTAAAGAATTGAGCTCTGTCATTTCAAAGCCATTGTTTCTCATTTTTAGGGACTTTTTAATGACTGGCATAGTACCACTGAATTGGCGTAATGCCAATGTGGTGCCAATATTTAAAAAGGGGTCAAAATCTTTACCAAGTAATTATAGACCTGTTAGTTTAACTTCTATAGTTGGGAAGATACTGGAGAGTTTAATAAAAGACCACATAGATGAGTTATTGCTGGAAAAAAATATTTTAAGCAACAGACAGCATGGATTCATGAAAGACAGAAGTTGTCAAACAAATCTGATTTCTTTTTATGAGGAGGTGAGCAAAACCTTGGACAGAGGGGTGGAGTGGACGTGGTATACTTGGACAGAGGGGTGGCAGTGGACGTGGTATACTTGGACAGAGGGGTGGCGGTGGACGTGGTATACTTGGACAGAGGGGCGGTGGACGTGGTGGACAGAGTGGTATACTTGGACAGAGGGGTGGTGGTGGATGGCGAGGGATGGCGGTGGGCGTGGTATACTTGGACAAAGGGGTGGCGGTGGACGTGGTATACTTGGATTTTATAAAAGTGTTTGATACAGTTCCCCACACATGACTAATGTGTAAGGTAAAGTCTACAGGCTTGGAAAAATCCGTATGTAAAGGAATAGAAAACTGGCTAAAAGATCATATTCAAAGAGTAGTGGTTGATGATTCATACTCTGAATGGTCTAGGGTTGTCAGTGGTGTACCCCAAGGTTCAGTGTTGGGACCCTTACTTTTTAATATATTCATAAATGATATAGGGTCTGAGATTAATATTTCCCATTTCAGTCTTTGCAGATGACACCAAGCTGTGCAGTGGAATAACGTCCTTACAGGATGTCTCCAACTTACAAGCCGACCTCAATGCTCTGTGTAATTGGGCAACTATGTGGCAAATGAGGTTTAATGTTGATAAATGTAAGGTTCTGCACTTGGGGGCTAAGAATATGCATGCATCATACATACAAGGGGGGGTACAACTGGGGGAATCAATGGTGGAGAAGGATCTGGGGGTTCTGGTAGATCACAAGCTTAATAATGACATGCAATGCCAAGCTGCGGTTTCTAAAGCGAGCAAAATCCTCTCTTGTATTAAAAGAGGTATAGACTCCAGAGAGAGAGATATCATATTTCCCCGGTACAAATCATTAGTAATACCTCATCTGGAATATGCAGTTCAGTTTTGGGCACCAATTCACAAAAATAACATTGGGGAACTGGAGAAAGTACAGAGAAGGGCAACCAAACTGATAAGAGGCATGGAGGAGCTCAGCTATGAGGAAAGATTAGAGGAACTGAAGTTATTATCTCTTGAGAAGAGGAGATTAAGGGGGATATGATCAACATTTACAGGTGAAAGGAGTGCCATGAGAAGTGTATTTCCAGAAAACTTTTGTGCCTGGAGTTTAGCTTTAGGCCTCATTAGTTTTACTACAGCAGCACACTGTCAGTGACCTCTTCCCATATCCTTTACAGGCTCATAAACTGATTTACAATTGATAGAAGGTTAACCTCTGAGAAGTTTAACAATGTATTAACTCTTATAGACATTAACTGATGAGCACCTGCCAAAACGCATTTCATCAGAGAGGTCAAATGAGTTCTAGGCAATATTTGATTGAACAAAGCAATGTTATTATCAGATAATCAGAACAGAATGTCGGCCAAACAGATACACTTTTGCTTATTTATGCTTGATCAGCAGAACTGTGACCTTATGCCTATTAATCACACAGCTGCTGTCTTCAAGCTTTTAAAAAGTTTGCAAATTACCTCTGAAGTTTAATTTGAGACTATTAAATGCTCATTTGTTGGCTTTATAAGGTGAAGATGTATTAATAGGGTGATTAATGCTGGCCACAGACATTCGAGGACGGTCAGACGCGGAGGTGAAATCCAAGTGTCGGCAGATGTCTTTTGGCACAGGATTGGCCATAAACAGGATGGACACCTATATCTGATGAATGTTCATTTTCTTAAAAGTAACTAAAGCTAAGAACAATACCACCATATGATGAATATCGCCATATGTGGTGGAATATCAGAAAAAAAACTCAAAACTAAACCCTTGAAGGTACCATCCAAGGGAGTTCAATATCAATAAAAACGTATATAGGGAGGAAAGTACATACTGTACAACGAAATTTTCAATGTACCTCCAGGGATCATAACCAGCACAAAAAACTCCACAAAAGTTACATAAAAAATAAAATCTTCCAAAATCTATTGTTTGTATACATTAAAAACATTATGGGGTTTATTTACTAAAGCTGGAGAGTCCAAAATCAGACTCCCTTCTGCATAGAAACCAATCAGCTTCCAGGTTTCATTGCCAAAGCTTCATTGAACAAGCTGAGGTTAGAAGCTGATTGGTTTCTATGCAGAAGGGAGTCTGATTTTGGACTCTCCAGCTTCAGTAAATAAACCCCTATGTGTCAAAAAATAAATAAAATGGTAAACCTGTCCCTGTAGAGAATGAATAGAAAGTCGACAATCATATAAATTTCCACCTAGTAAAACTAGGGTCGTAGGCAGGAGCGGACTGACAACTCATGGGGCCCCCGGGCAATAGGGGATCATGGGGCCCCTGTGTCCTTGCCCAAACTCAAAAAAGCCTATGAAAAAGGTACCAGGGGCATCTCATGGGGCCCCCTACTGACCCCGGGCCCTCGGGCAGTGCCCGAGTTTCCAAACGGTCAGTCCGCCACTGGTCGTAGGTTCAAATCCCAACCATGGCACTACCTGCCTGGAGTTTGCATGTTCTCCTTGTCCCTGCATGTGTTTCCTCCAGAAACTCCAGTTTCTTTCCACACTCTAAAGACATGCTGGTAGGTTAATTGGTTCCTGTCTTAATTGGCCCTAGTATTATTATTATACAGGATTTATATAGCGCCAACAGTTTGCGCTTTACAATATAAGGGAGACAGTGCAATTACAACACATTTCAGTACAGAAGGAATATGAGGGCCCGGCTCCTGGAGCTTACAATCTAAAGGAAGGGGGAGGTGATACAAAAGGTGATAGCTGTGGGGGATGATCTGGTGGAGGTGATTCATATACAGATTTTAGGTGGAGGTGGGGTAGGCTTCCCTGAATAAGTGAGTTTTCAAAGATCGCCTAAAGGCAGACAGGGTGGGGGCTGACCGGACATACTGCGGTAGGGAGTTCCAGAGGATGGGGGAGGCTCTGGAGAAGTTCTTGTATGTGTATGTATGAATGTAAGTTAGATTGTGTGCTCATTGAGGGTTAGGGACTGCTGTGAATGAATAATATATGTAAAGCACTGCGTAAATATAAGTACCTGTAATAAATAAATACATTTTAACAATGCGCTACATCAACATGTTTCATGATATCTAATCTAAGCCTGAAGAAGCAATTAGATATCAGGAAAAGCGTCGATATAGAGTGCTGTTGAAATGTATGTGATTGTAGACAGTTGAAACTCAGTCTTTATGGAGACTGGTTTACTATATAGTTATTTTATTGACATATAATGTTTTTAACCACTTGCCTACCGGGCACTTATACCCCCTTATTTACCAGGCCAATTTTCAGCTTTCAGCGCTGCCGCACTTTGATTGACAATTGCGCGGTCATGCAACATTGTACCCATATGAAATTTTGATCATTTTTTTTCTAACAAATAGAGATTTCTTTTGGTGGTATTTAATCGCCACTGGGCGCTTTACTTTTTGCGTTATAAATAAAAAAAGTGCAAAAAATTTGAAAAAAAAAAAAAGTTTCTTTGTTTCTATTATAAAATTTTTCAAACAGGTAATTTTTCTCCTTCACTGATGTGCGTTGATGAGGCAGCACTGATGGGCACTGATAGGCGGCACTGATGGGCACTGATAGGCGGCACTAAAGGGCACTGATAGGCAGTACTAATGAGGTGGCACGGATAGGCGGCACTGATAGACAGCACTAATGAGGTGTCACGGATAGGCGGCACTAATATGCAGCACTGATAGGCGGCACTGATAGGTGACACTGATGATGGGTACTGATAGACGGCACTGACTGGCATCACTGCTGGGCACTGACTGGCGGCACTGACTGGCACAACCGCTGCGCAGCAGCACTGCTGGGCTGCACTGGTGGGTGGGCACAGGTGGGTGGCACTGGTGGGCACAGGTGGGTGGGCACAGGTGGGTGGCACTGCTGGGCACAGGTAGGTGGCACATCTGGGCACAGGTGTGTGACACTGCAGAGTGGCACAGGTGGGTGCACTGCTGGGCACAGGTGGGTGCACTGCTGGGCACAGGTGGGTGATCTGCTGGGCACCGGTGGGCGGAGCTAGTGGGCGCACTGCTGGGCACAGGTGGGCGGAACTTGCGGGTGGCACTGCTGGGCACCGATCATCAGGGCACTGATCATCAGTGCCCTGATGATCGGTGCCGATCCCCGCTCTGACAACTGCCGGTTCTCGGCAGTACTTTCCTCACGATCTGACAGCGTGAGGAAAGTGCAGCCGAGAACCGGCACTTGCATTTCCCTCTGATCAGCGTGTCATTGGACACCACTGATCACGTGGTAAAAGGCCGCTGTGATTGGCCTTTTACCACATCACGTGATCAGCTGTGTCCGTAGGACACAGCGATCACGGAGATCGCCGGGTGTGCGCCCCCTGGGGCGCGCAGGAGAGCGCGTTCTGGGAGGACGTCATATGACGTCCACTCAGAACTGGCCGGTTGCAGTGCAGCCGTCATTCAGCTATCTGCGGTCGGCAACTAGTTAATTTATACATACAATAAATGGGCAGCGGTTGTGCCAGTCAGTGCCGCCAGTCAGTGCCCAGCAGTGATGCCAGTCAGTGCCGTCTATCAGTACCCATCATCAGTGTCACCTATCAGTGCCGCCTATCAGTGCTGCATATTAGTGCCGCCTATCCGTGACACCTCATTAGTGCTGTCTATCAGTGCCGCCTATCCGTGCCACCTCATTAGTACTGCCTATCAGTGCCCTTTAGTGCTGCCTCATCAACGCACATCAGTGAAGGAGAAAAATTACCTGTTTGAAAAATTTTATAATAGAAACAAAGAAACTTTTTTTTTTTTTCAAATTTTTTGCATTTTTTTTATTTATAGCGCAAAAAGTAAAGCGCCCAGTGGCGATTAAATACCACCAAAAGAAATCTCTATTTGTGAGAAAAAAATGATCAAAATTTCATATGGGTACAATGTTGCATGACCGCGCAATTGTCAATCAAAGTGCGGCAGCGCTGAAAGCTGAAAATTGGCCTGGTAAATAAGGGGGTATAAGTGCCTGGTAGGCAAGTGGTTAAAAACATTATATGTCAATAAAATAACTATATAGTAAACCAGTCTCCATAAAGACTGAGTTTCAACTGTCTACAATCACATACATTTCAACAGCACTCTATATCGACGCTTTTCCTGATATCTAATTGCTTCTTCAGGCTTAGATTAGATATCATGAAACATGTTGATGTAGCGCATTGTTAAAATGTATTTATTTATTTATTTATTACAGGTACTTATATTTACGCAGTGCTTTACATATATTATTCATTCACAGCAGTCCCTAACCCTCAATGAGCACACAATCTAACTTACATTCATACATACACATACAAGGACTTCTCCAGAGCCTCCCCATCCTCTGGAACTCCCTACCGCAGTATGTCCGGTCAGCCCCCACCCTGTCTGCCTTTAGGCGATCTTTGAAAACTCACTTATTCAGGGAAGCCTACCCCACCTCCACCTAAGAACTGTACATGAATCACCTCCGCCAGATCATCCCCCGCAGCTATCACCTTTTGTATCACCTCCCCCTTCCTTTAGATTGTAAGCTCCAGGAGCCGGGCCCTCATCATATTCCTTCTGTACAGAAATGTGTTGTAATTGCACTGTCTCCCTTATATTGTAAAGTGCAAACTGTTGGCGCTATATAAATCCTGTATAATAATAATACTAGGGCCAATTAAGACAGGAACCAATTAACCTACCAGCATGTCTTTAGAGTGTGGAAAGGAAACTGGAGTACCTGGAGGAAACACATGCAGGAACAAGGAGAACATGCAAACTCCAGGCAGGTAGTGCCATGGTTGGGATTTGAACCTACGACCAGTGGCAGACTGACCATTTGGACACTCGGGTACTGCCCGAGGGCCCGGGGTCAGTAGGAGGCCCCATGAGATGCCCCTGGTACCTTTTTCATAGGCTTTTTTGAGTTTGGGCAAGGACACAGGGGCCCCATGATCCCCTATTGCCCAGGGGCCCCATGAGTTGTCAGTCCGCCCCTGGTTGTTACCCTTTTGAAAGGAACTATTGTGGTCTTATCATTTTGTTCCAATAGGGACTACTCCTTTATAACTAAATGTTCTGTCACCATCCTCAGAAACCTTGTTACCATTTCAAAAGGAGCTGGTGTAAACTCTTATCATTCCATAGACTACTCTTGGACATGGTCTTGTGTTCAAGGGTAAGCAGGTACAATAGAGAGAGAAGACTAGATAGAGGGCCTAGCTCAGGGGCGGACTGACCATTTGGAAACTCGGGCACTGCCCGAGGGCCCGGGGTCAGTAGGGGTGTAAATAAATCTAAATTATGATTCGGCACTTATATTGATGGCAAGCTTGCAAAATATTTGATTTTTATGATTAGTCATAATTAATATTAATATGTGTGAATGGTCTTTTGACAAATTGTAGTATTACTATTCTTCAATTATAGCTGAGACCAAAAGATATACAAGTTAGCTGAGACAGCTATACCAGCTGAAAGCTGAGTATACTATATTTAGGCTGTTAGTATATGTCAAGGTTATTAGGAGGACTCATTACATTAGGTATTTTAATAGTATATGTGTGTACTTAGTATACGTTTCTAACATTGATACATATATAGTTTAGTGATTATACATTGATATGTTCTTAAGCTATATTATTCTTTAAATATATAGCTGAGGGTTACATACATATGTTCCTGTCCATCAAAAACATTATGTGAGTGTCGTCCCCTCCCTTCTATGCCATACAAGGTATTAAGATCACTAACTATGACGTAAATTTGCCTCATAAAAGACCATGAGACAACGGACAAGGACAGACTCACACTTATACGCTAACACGACACTCTTGCATACATACATGTCTGAGAAGTTGCAACAGGTGCAGACTACAATATCGTCACGTCCGGCTTCTTCTTCACAAAGACCCGAGGACAGGCATCCATGAAAGACAGAATCGCACATGGCAAGGACAGCCATGACAGATAATGGTGACTTTGTCTTTAAACGTTTGCTTGTTATTTTTACAGTAGTTTTATCTACATGGAACTGTTCATAATACGCTTTACATTGTTATTTTACACCATTGTGTGATAGAATAAAATCACACTTCATTTTTTATTTCAATGGCTCTTTCATTCATAATCGCCTCAAGACACTAGAAGAAGTATTATATGTGTCTAAAAATCCAACAAGGGGTGCCCCATGAGATGTCCCTGGTACCTTTTTCATAGGCTTTTTTAAGTTTGGGCAAGGACACAGGGGCCCCATGATCCCCTATTGCCCGGGGGCCCCATGAGTTGTCAGTCCGCCCCTGGCCTAGCTAGATAGACAGACCATCCTTCAGTAAATCTGTTACCCTTTCAAAAGGAACTAGTGTGGTCTTTTAATTCTATTCCAATGGGGTACTACTCCTCTGTGATTAAATGTTCTGTCACCGTCTCTCAGGAAAGTTGTTACTCTTTAAAAAGGAACTGGTGTAGAATCGTATCATTCCACACCAGTGGTAGACTACTCTTGGACAAGGGCTTGTGCTCGGGAGTAAGAGGGTATGTAGTTGGTAGATAGAGGACCTAGCCTGGGGTGTTCCAGAGTGGTAATGTCCTGGTGTTCCACCCTGTCGGGCATGAGATCCCTGGAAAACACACGCAAAGGAACCATGGAGTGCCACCAAGTTCACCCAAATCAACCAGGTTCACCCAAATCAACCAGGAAGGGTTTACCTCTACACTGCATTCACTCCCGTTACACTATACCTCTACTGCAAATACAGAGTTACACAGTGAGGAACAAATGTTTTCAGCAGTAAATTCTAAGGTGTCACCTTGATAACAAACTTGTTTTGCAGAAAGGAGTAAATCGGAATTCATTAGGAGACTTTCAGTAAACTTGGTGGATGGTGTTCCTCTGTTCTTGATCTCAGTAGAATGCTTTCTGAATTGTAAAGGAGACAAAACACTGAATTTATATTCATGGGACAAGATAATAACGCTTCAGAATATTTCCCTTATGAGTGCTGCAAAAAGGAAGTTTTGCATAGATGAAGTGCGGTAGTAAATTACATCAGGCAGACCTAGATTTCCAATGCAAATTGGCTAAAATAAAAAATATTGCAGTTAAATAGTTTGAAAAAGTTAGCCCACCCAAAACAGATGTTTCAGTTATGGATGGCTAAATTACCCATCAACCTTTTTACAGCAAGATCTTTACACAAGAGATATCAGTAGGGTTGCCACCTCATCACTTTAAACCCGAACACATATTAATTACACAGGTTCTGTGGCTGACTAAGGTGGTAATTAACTACTTCCCGTCCGACCCATGTACATAAACGGCTGGACAGGAGCAGTGCAGGAGCTGGTTGCCGTTTATAAACGGCGTCCGCATTCACAGCCTGTGCGCACTCCCTGGGTGCGCGCGCCACCGCGATCTGGTGCCCACTGTGTCCTCCAAACACAGCAGAACACCGATCGCTTTACAGGAGCTCTGTGTGAGTTCCCAATTCATGTGATCACTGATTGGCCAATCAGTGATCACATGAATAGCAGTAAGCAAGATGTCACTTCCTGACATAATTGCTTACTACTTGTGAAATCTGTGAATAATCACAGAGGTCACATGGTACAAGGCTATTCACAACAGCCTTGTACCATGTGAAGCAAAAATTATTGCTTTTACAGCCTTTATGGGTGTAAAAGCAATGTAAACAAAAACAAAAATCTTCATCACCCCCCACAAGTAGTACAGTGTCACTGCTAGGGTGGCAGTATGTTAAAAAAAAAACCACATAAATATAATATTAAAAAATAAAATAAAAACGTAAAAAAAAATTTGAAAAATTATAATTTTTGGTTATAAAATAATTTGTGTTATTTTTTTTTACTAAAAAGATAACTGAATACATTTTGGCCAAGAGTTATGAAGAAAGATTATTTATTTGCAAATTTTATAAGAAAAACACTTTTTTTTCAAAATTTTGGGACTTTTTCATTTATATAGCAAAAAAATAAAAATCCCAGTGGTGAATAAATACCACCAAAATAAAGTTTTATCTGTCTCAAAAAAATGCTAAAAAATTCAGATACAGTGTTGCATGACCACGCAATTATTCAAAGTGTGATAGCACTGAAAGCTGAAAATTGGCCTGGACTGGACTGGGTGAAAGTGTCCGGACTTGAAGTGGATAAACTCACTTAGTGCCTTATCACCTTAAAATTAGCCTCAGAACCTGTGTAAGTAATATGTGTTCAGTTTTA